CTGGCTGGCCACTGTATGAGACAGGATGCTGGCCTAGATGGATTATTGGTCTGATCCAGCAGGGCACTTCTTACGTTCTTAGGAAGGTCTTGGCCTCTCTGCCCCGCTGCTGGCCCTTCAGAGGAACTGGCTGGCCACTGTGTGAGACAGGACGCTGGACTAGATGGACCATCAGTCTGATCCAGCAGGACTCTTCTTATGTTCTTATACGATCTTAGAAGTGTTCCACCACAAACAACTTGGGAGCCCTCAAGTCAATCCTTCATTAGTTCTACTGGACTTGAATGCAATGTTTAGTGCAGGATCAAAGTGCCAGATAACAGCTGCACAAAATACGTGATCCCAAGTTTCTACTGTCTGGACCTCTTGATTGCATTTGCCCTGTGGAGACAAATCTATCACCGTGCAGCGATGATAGGAGATTGATTGCTCAGGCCTGCCCAGCCCTTGATCTTCATGTGGCAGATGATGCACTAGACAAAGACGACCATGAGCAGGCCAAATCACAGCACAGACACAGAATGCCTACAAACATCAAGAGCATTGTAAAGATTTGCTACAACGCAACTATGCTTTCGGAATGTTCTGTCAATTTCCTTCCTACTACGTGCTGAAATGTTGTTATACTACCTCCAGAACTCTTTTCCTGATCGGCTGTATCAGACCGTTGTCGTAAAGAGCTTTCAAAAGACGAAAGGTATTGCCACCACCTGCAGGAAAAAGAAGTCTGGTTGGACCTAAAGCCGACCACTTGTGTTAACACAGGCCCAGGAGAACAAGACCCGAACCCAGCAAGAGACCCAAGCCTAGTCCAGACCGATATTCTTCCAAGTGCAGAGCTATCAGGGGAGTGATGGTGGCTTAACAGCATAGCACATTCTTTGCATGCAGAAGATCCCGGGGGGTGGGGGGTGGAAAGCACCGTCAAGTCACAGCCGACTTATGGTGACCCCCCATGAGGTTTTCAGGGCAAGAGACGAGCAGGGGTGGTTTGCCATTGCCTGCCTCTACATAACAACCCTGGGCTTCCTTAGCAGTCTCCCATCCAAATACTGACCAGGGCAGACCCTGCTTAGCTTCCGAGATCCGATAAGATCGGGCTAGCCTGGGCCATTCAGGTCAGGGCTCAGTCTCATGGGCCTCTGTTAAAAGATCTAAGGTAGCAACTTTCAGAACGACCTCTCTTTATCCAAGATTACAGAAAACCACTCCCTGCCAAATTAGCTAGTCAGCGCAGTATAAGATGGCTTCCTGTGGTCCTATAGCAGGTCAACAGCTGCGTTGAGAGCCGGCATTTAGGCTACATCCACATGCTGCTGAATATAGCATTACCATTGTTTTGCAACTAAATTCTCTTGTATGCACAGGAAAATCCAGTTGCAAATAACTGCTATGCTGCTGAATATAGCATGCACAGGATCTTGTATGCACAGGAAAATCCCGTTGCAAATAACTGCTATGGCATAATACCCAACCGTAGGTGGATGCTGCCCTACTTCCCAGTTCACAACTGCTACACCAAACTAGACCTTTGTACCAGAATCACTGCCCCCAATTTGTCGTGAGATCTGAATGCAGATTTCTGTCCGATAATCTCAGTGTTATTGCCAACAAAGGGAAATCAGAGTTTAGGCTTCTCTTATTAAGCAACCACCCTGGGTTTCAGTTCTGTTGTTATCAAGAACGTGGCTCAGTGAGGCGTGTTCAGACAAAGTCCAAAAAGGAGCTCCTCTTTACCGATAAAAATAGCTTCCGCTTTCCTTACAGCTTCTGTAGGATCAGGAGACTCGTGAATACTGTCCAGTCCATAGCCTGGGGAAAAAGACAAGGCATTGAAGAATAAATGGGGGGGGGGGGGACAAGTTGTGATGGGACAAGCCCCTGCTTTTTCACCACAGATGTGCTGGGGAACACCCCTTCTTCCTAACCTTGGGTGCGGCAGGTGACTGAGAGCTTCCTGGTTTTAGGGGCTTTGAATTCAATCTGTGTCCAAACGGGCACCACGTGACAAGATAACCTTCTGGACCTGGATGACTTGGCCGGAGCCTCACCCCCCTGTTTCTTCCCACAAACTGAGGAACTCTAAATCAGGATTAAACTGCAGTTCAGAATCTCGGGGCTTTTCTGCGCAGGTTTTTATCCCGGACATAGTGCCGTGTAATATCGAATCGCCCACCAGAGAGAGCAAAACACAGGCAGAGCAGACACCCCAACTGATTAATAATTAATTGTTGTATGGCATTGTACGTAGAATAGCCAGGCGATCCGAAGACTGTCTGGCACCCACAAGCTCTTAGCGTTAACCTAGTGGTGAGCTATACTTGTCTTTAGGGTCTGGGAGAGCTCTGAAAGAACTGACACCGGCCCAAGGTCACCCAGCTGGCTTCATGTGAAGGCGTGGGGAATCGAACCTAGTTCTCCAGATTAGATTCCGTTGCTCTTAACCACTACACCAAACTGGCTCTCTACTCCCCACCCAACCCCCAAAGCAACAGGATCTGGCTACAAAGTTCTCACTATTAAAAGTTGCTGATTCAGGATAACAATGCTGCAGGTCTTCATGGGCAATAACTACAGTACGCCAGGGGTCCCCAACATGGCGCCCATGGGCACTATGGTGCACACCGACACCTTTCCTGGTACCCACCAAATGTCTTAAGAAAGTGGGTAGGGGGCAGATGAGGCTTTTGCCCAACAGAGCTTCTGACTGGCCACTGGAGAGCTGACTGACTGTGTACATTTTTTAAAACATTGCTTTGGCAGCAGCTGCTACCACAGTACAAGGTTCTTCATATGTGACTGAAGGTAAGCTGTGGCAGCCCTTTTGTGGCTGGCTCCATCTCCTGTGGCAGCCATTTTATGGTTCCGCCTACCACCCTGTGTCAGAATTCCAAACCTGCTCACAGACTCAAAAAGATCAGGGACCCCAGCTGAATGCTTTATTCCGGACTTATATCATCCTAGTCCTATGACATAGCTTATTAGTCGTCTCGCACTATTGGCTGTGTTGATGTAACGGTGAGGTAGATGGGGTAATCCTCCTTGAGTTTCAGTGAGAAAGGAGGACTGTGAATAGATAAACAGACAAGGTTTTTCCCCCTCTCTAGGCCAATAAAGGGCAATGCTTGCCTTACCTAAGCTTTCAAACGTCTCCCTTGCCATCTTGGCATAAGCCTCTCGGTCACTCAGGGCATAAGGCACAAACAAAATTCTCTTCACGTTCCTGAAAAAGACAACTTGGTCACTGCACATGCAAACAGTCTATCAGCAGCTAATGTCAAGACATATGCACGCATCTCAGGAGCACTTCTGCACGCTTTATCCAGAACTCCCCAATACATCCATGATGGAGCCCTGCTGCTTCTTCATTCTGAGGCAGATTTTTCCTGCCAAAATTCTCAGGTCCCTTCAGGTCCTGAGCTAGCCCCCTAAGTGGTGTGACAGCAACTTTATAAATCTGAATGTCCCACTCTGTGACAGAATCTAATTTGGCTTTTGCCTAGCCCAAGAACTTGTCAGGAGGAAACAGGAGTCCTCTTTTTAGAGCCCTTGAAATGACACTAGAGGCTGTGTAAGAATCAGGGCTTTTTTTCTGGAGGAATGCACCGGAATGGCGTTCCGGAACCTCTTCGACAAAATCCTTTTTAAAATGTTTAAAAGTTCATGAGTATTCAGTATACAGACTGAAAACTTCCTTTCCCTCTTGAGACCTCCGGCAATTCTTTTTCAAACAAACAAACAAAACCTCTGGTAACAGTGAACAATAATGAAGATTGTATTTAATAGGGATTGTATGGGATAGTCAGGCATTGAAAAGGCTGAGGTAAACACTGTTGGTAAAACAGTATATTTTTCAGTTGACAGACAAGATGGTGTGGTAGCAGCTTATTTTCACAAATTCTGGGTTCTTCTCAGTGAGAGGTGGTTGACTAAGTACTTTGGTTTCAGTTACAGCGGTTCGGTATATAGTTTCCTAATAACTGTTCAGGTATTCAGGAAAGGTCACTCTGTACCAAATTATTTCCCCTTTTCTGAAATCGCAACACGTCTTCTTTCCTCTGAGTAGTCTATAACCCTTTCCTCTCATAAGGGACCACCTCAGTGCCAACTCCCTGTATAACTGGACAGGACTTCTATTTCTTCCCTGGAAATATAATCCTTTTCCTTTTGGTTTGATCAGGCGCTTCAGCCTGCTACCCGGGAAATCCCCACTCCCAAGGTACCTAGCCCGACCCAAAGCACTCCAATGGTTTACCTGCGTCTAATCATCTTTACTCTAAAGTAAAACCAGCCACTTTTTTTTTAAGCGGGAAGGGGGGGAAATCGCTCCCAGAAAACGCTGCAGTCTTTATAACTTCTCTGTCTTACGAACAAAACATGCTAGATCTCCAGCTGCATAAGAAAAGGCTCCAGTAACCCCGATCCCTCCCCGTGCACGTCTATGGAGCCGCGTCCCCTGGACTTGCAAGCGACTTTCTCGGCCCAGCCCTCCGCCTGTTTCCTCGGAAGTAAGTTCCGCGGGGCGGGGCTCAGCCCCAGAGAAAAGCGCACGGGATCGCGGCCCTCCCCCCTCCCCCCGGAAGCCTGCCTTAAAGAAGGCCCCTGCGTGGCGAGAGAGAGACAAAGGGGGCCAGGCGCCGACCCCTCCCCACCCCCTCCGGGCGCAGCGAGCGCGCTGCAAACTTTTCTCTGTGCGCAGCAGCCGCCGCCGGAGCGCAGCGGGGATTCGCACTCACGGCCCCAGGAAGTCCCGGAGGTGTTGCTGGCAGTGCTCCAAGTAGCCCCCGCCGTGCAGCGTCGAGTTGGAGACCAGCAGGAGCCGCCGCCGCTTGGCCATCTGTGCCGCCGGTCGAGTCCAGCCTCTCGGGAGGCGCAGCAGCAGGGAAGCCAGTCCGGGGCGCGCCTCCGCCTTCTTTCCCTCCTCCTCCTCCTCCTCCTCCTCCTCGGCGGATCGCTCGATTGCTCTCGCCTCCTGGGGGGCGTCCCCTGGTTCTCTCCCTCCCTTCCCGGGCCGGCCGGCCGGAGGAAGCCCCACCTCGGGACGTGGCCCGCGCCGGAGGGACGGACGCAGCATGCTGGACTTCGTCATTTTCGCCGCCACCTTCTTGCTCCTCTTGGTGGGCGCCGTCCTCTACCTCTACCCGGTAAATGCACCGGGAGGAAACGGGGGAGAAGGACTGGAGCCGTCGGGGCGTGTGTGCGCCTTTAGGGGGCAGCAGTCCCTCCGAGGTGGGGGCGTGGGGATGCCAGCCTCCAGGCGGGCCCTGGGGACCCTCGGGAATTGCAGCACGTCTCCAGACGACACAGATCAGTTCCCCTGCAGACAGGGGCTGCTTTGGAGGGTGGACTCTGTGGCATTGTGCCCCCCACCGAGGTCCCCGTCTTCCCCAGGCTCCACCCCCAAATCTCCAGGAGTTTCCAGAGCTGGCATGGGATGCCAGCCTCCAGGTGGGGCCTGGGGATCTCCTGGAATTACAGCTCATCTCCAGACGACAGAGATCGGGCCCCCTGCAGGAGAGGGCTGTGTGGCATTGTGCCCCACTGAGGTCCCTGTCCTTCCCTAGGTCTATCCCCAAGTCTCCTGGAGTTTCCCAACCTGGATCTGGCAACCCTGCTCCCCATCCCCCGCTGGTGGCCAGGGGGAACCTGGTAACGCTTAAAGTGAAATAGGCGTCCCGCCTGCCGCCGAATGGGATTTTATTGTGGCATGAAATTTCGTGAGCCGGTGCTCACTTCTTGGGATGCACGATTTATATGCACAATGGAGTTGGGGGTGTGTGTGTTCAGAGGGACCGCTGATGCGGAGAGTGATTGCTTCTCCCAAAGGTTTGTTCGATAAGCGGACTCTAAAACCAGGCATGGGGTGAAATGGGATAAGCAGGTATGGTGGAAAGTTACAGAGCAATTAAATTAACATCTCTAAAGGGTAAAGTTTGAGTCCAGTGGCACCTTTAAGACCAACAAAATCATGGGGCAAGGGATGCTCTGTCTTCTTGGTGCGGGGGGGGGGGCAACAGGGGGAGGGCTTCTAGTGTCCTGGCCCCACTGCTGGACCTCCTGATGGCACCTGGTGTTTCTGGCCACTGTATGACACAGAGTGTTGGACTGGGTGGGCCACTGGCCTTGATCCAACATTGGCTTCTCTTATGTTTGAAGCCAGGGGTGTCGAACTCATTTGTTATGAGGGCCAGATCTGCGGATCTGACATAAATGAGAGCTTGTTGGGGTGGGCCATGTGTGTCATAAAATGTAATGCCAGGTAGCGGAGATATAAACTTTATAAAGGACACAAACACAAAGAGGTTTTTTTAACTTAAAATAAAAATATGCCTAAAACATTAGCTCTGTAAGCTGCAAACCTACTTTTGATTTATTGACATTCACCACAGAGTTCTGAGTCTAAGACCCAGGGTAAAACATGAAATGGCTGAGTGATTAAGAGAGTCTGGCGAAGCAAGCTATGATGCAGCAGCAGAACTGGAAGCAGGAGATGGCTGGTTCCACTGCGGGCCTGGTGGAAGCCCTCTGGGGGCCTGATTTGGCCCCCCAGGCCGCATGTTTGACACCCCTGCTCTAAGCTTTCGTCTGCACGCACACTTCTTCAGATATCTGAATGTATCTGAAGAAATGTGCCTGCACACGAAAGCTTATACCCAGAATTAAACTTTGTTGGTCTTCAAGGTGCCACTGGACTCAAACTGTGTTCTTTTGCTTCAGGCCAACACGGCTACCCACCTGAACCCCTAAAGGGTATTAGCAAGGTACGAGTGGAAACTTGCAAGGACTTGCAGGGAGGACAGCTTATTTCCTCTCTCCTATTTCCTCTCTCCCTTCCCTGAAAGCCCCCTCCTCACATTATTTCCCCTTTCCCTCCTTCTGGCTACCTTGGTATACTGTCCCCTTTCCCTGTCTCATTCTCTCCTTTTCAGCCATTCACCAACCTGGTATAGTTAGTATTTATTCACTTAATTTATACCTCACCTTTTTCTGCTGTGGGGACCAAAGCAGTTTACACCATTCTCCTCTCCTCTTTTTATCCTCACAACAACCCTGTGAGGTAGGTTAGGCTGAAAGCATGTGATGGGAGCAACATAGTGAGCTTCCATGGTACACTGGGTTTCCCGGACCCTACTCTAAAGCTGTAACCTCTGCATGAGATTGGCTTTAATAGGGTGGCTGCTGTTGAACAGTAGCAAGCAGCCAGGCCTATGTGAGTCATGTGGTATCAAGACTCCCAGTGGTGGCTGCCCGGCCTGCCCCCCCCCAGTTTTTCCTCAAAGGCCAAAGCAGCCCTGGAAAGGGCCCTGCACCCCTCTCCCTGCCTTTTTGCACAAAGAAACCAAGTCTAGAATGCTGTGTTTGCCTAGCAGCAGTCCTAAAGGACTCTGTTTCTTAAAGCTGCAGGTGCTGCTTTTATCACTTTGGGGGTTTTCAACTCCACAAATGTATTTTTTTAAATAGATTTCAGTTGCCAGCTCTAGTTTGGGAAATTCCTGGAGATTTTGAGGTTGGAGTCTGGGAAGGGCGGGGTTTGGGAAGGGGAGGGACTTCAGACTTGGGGAAGGGTATAATGGCATAGAGTCCACCTGCCAAAGCTACCATTTTCTCCAGGGGAACTGATCTCTGTCGCCTGGAGATCAGTTGTAGTCCCAGAAGAGATGGGAGGATCTCCAGCCATCACCTGGAGGTTGGCAACACTGTCTCTTTTTATCCTCACAACAACGCTGTGAGATGGGTTAGGCCAAAAGTAGGTGACTGGCCCTACATTACCTAGTGAGCTTCTGTGGTAGACTGGTGATTTGAACCTGGGTCTATTACCCTAGCATGAAGCGCTAACCAGTCACAACAAAAAAAGGGCAGAAAAAAGGACAGAAAGGCCAAAAAACTGAACCTTAACACTAAAATTCAGAACCTAACAAAGGTTAGTAAAATGTGAAAAAGAGAGCCAATATTAAAAACTAAATGTAGAATATATATAGAAAAAGATACGTGTATTTATTAATTACAAATTTTAAAACATATATAAGGGCCCATTCACATCAAATATATAAATAACATGGCAATACACACGGGCTTAAAAACATGACCTGACGCGTTTCGGCCTGCATAGGCCTTCCTCAGAGGTCAAACAATTGAGTGGCAAGATGGCTATATAAATATAATACAATCATGTAGACACAATCAGAATGGATACAAAATATAAATTCAGTATGGACCAGAAAACAAGTTTTTCCAGAATAAAACCACCAGGCACACAATAAATATGCAAATGAGATCTTTAAAAGTGCAGTCACTTGCCCAGTGGTTCTAAAGTATAGACATTTCGTCCAAGAATTGCCTTCTTTGATTGTGTTGCCACAGTGTTCTCAAGTAAAGGTAAAGGTAAAGGTTCCCTTGCTCGAAAGCCAGTCTAATCCGACTCTAGGATTGCGGTGCACATCTCCGTTTCAAAGCCGAAGAGCCAGCGCTGTCCGAAGATGTTTCTGTGGTCATGTGGCCGGCATGACTAAACACCAAGGCGCACGGAATGTTGTTACCTTCCCACCAAAGTGGTACCTATTTATCTACTTGCAAATTCTTGCTTTCGAACTGCTAGGTTGGCAGGAGCTGGAACTAGAGACAGGAGCTCACCCCACCCCGTCTTGCGGCACCTGGGTCTTGAACTGCTGAACTACTGACCTTCCACAGCCTGCAGTTCAGCGTCTTAACCACTTGAGCCACCGCAGCTCCTCAAGTAAAAAGCAGTTTTAGGCAGTGATAAGGGCAGGGTATAAATCCAATCTCTTCTCCTCTTCCTCTTCTTCTGCTTCTGAATAGGCGCTGACAAAGATGGCCGAGGCTAGTCCAATCTCATCAGATTTCAGAAACTAAATGGGGCCTATTCAGGCCTTGTTACTACTTGGGTGACCTGAATGGCCCAGGCTAGCCCGATCTCATCAGCTCTTCAAAGCTGAGCACGGTCGGCCTGGGTTAGTCCTTGGATGGGAGACCACCAAGGAAATCCTGGGTTGCTACGCAGAGGCAGGCAATGGCGAACCACCTCCCAGTATCTCTTGCCTTGAAAACCCCATGAGGGGTCACCAGAAGTTGATGTCATTTCCCACCACCACTGCTGAAGAGACGCGTGTAGAATTGTGCCAGTTAGTCGGAAACAACTGACTGCGTTTTGTTTTTCTTCCCCCTCAGGCTTCTAGGCAGGCTTCAGGTATCCCGGGAATGACTCCGACTGATGAAAAGTAAGTGGCTTTTGTAGGGGGTCTGTAAATGCACATTCCTCCTCTCTCCCTAATGCACGCAGGAACTCTACCAGTCCTCCCCATTACTTCTGCTACTTACAGTGCTATCCCAAGAAGATTTTCCTGGAAGTAAACCCCATCGAACAGACTTTAGTGTGATTCTGAGCAGACCTGTTTAGGGTTGGCTCTCTTACAGGGTAATCCGAAGGAAAGTTACTCCAGTGTAAGCCCGTTGATTTCAATGGGCTTAGACTGGAGTAGACTCTGCTTAGCATTCCACTGTTAATTATGGTGAAGGCCAGGAGTGCTGTGGATTGCAATAGACCTGCGCAAGATAGGCCTTCTTGGGGGAGCAGAAAGTTTCGATGAGACCCCTATGGGGTCACCTCTCTGACCGCTACCCTGCGTGCGCAGAGAAGGAAAGGGCATGGCCTGTCCCTTGACGCCTTGCAGTCCAGCTGGTCCAATGGCCTCTATGGCCCTTTCCAACTGTAATTCTATGAGGAGGCTGAGGGGGCCACGATTGCTCTCTTTTCAACATTTGAAGGGCTGTCACTGAGAGGAGGCGCAGGGAGCTGTTCCTGTCGGCCGCAGAGGAGAGGACTCGCAATCATGGGTTTAAAGTGGGAAGGTACCGGCTGCATCTGAGGGAAAACTTTCTTTATTTTATTATTTATTTAATTTATATCCTGCCCTCCCCGCCTCGGCAGGATATATATTCTGTGAGCCTCCCTGAGCAATATATATATTTTAAACAACAGAGTAGTTAAAACACAATATTTAAATAGGTAAAATCATATAAGTGCCTGTAAACATAGATGTCAATAAATACTGATAAGTATTGATAAGTGATAGCCAATGTTCCCTCTATGCTGTGGAGTCTTGTGAGCAGAAATTCTACTTTGTGAGCGACTGGCATTACAGTTGTGAGCGGGCGATTTGGCTCCTGCATAAATTAGTCTGCTCTGGAGCCCTCCTCCCTGAGTTAAGACAAAAATGTGTGAGCCGGAGGCTAAAAACCCTTGAGCTAGCTCACACTAACTCAGCTTAGAGCGAACACTGGATGGCGGTAGTATACTCTCAGCTTCCAAATGGTCATTATTACCACAGTCTGGACTCCCACCAGTCAGAGTTTTACAGTCAGAGTTGTTCACCAGTGGAGTCAGCTGCCTAGTAGGGAGGTAGTGAGCTCCCCCTCCCTGGCAGCCTTGAAGCAGCGGCTGGACAGACACTTGCCAGGGACGCTCTAGGGGCTGATCCTGCACTGAGCAGGGGGTTGGGCTAGATGGCCTGTCTGGCTCCAACTTGGTGGTTCTGGGATTCTATGCTCTTTCTCCTGGTTTCTTCCTAGAGATGGGAACCTCCCAGACATTGTCACCTGTGGCAGCTTGCATGAGTTCCTGGTAAACCTCCATGAGAAATACGGTCCCATCGTCTCCTACTGGTTCGGGCGGCACCTGGTCATCAGCCTGGGGTCCATTGACGTCCTGAAGCAGCACATCAACCCCAACAGGACCTGTGAGTCCGGGCGGAAGCTCTGTCCTCAAATGAACTTGGTGTTTCCAAGAAGTGCAAGGGCTGGCTTCTGTTGAGCCTGCTTCTGCCTACCTGTGGAAGTCTACATTTCGGTGAAACCAGAATTTGTTCCTCTGGTTTCTTAGGCTTCAGTTTGTGAATAGAGATATTTAATTTTTAAAAAATTATTAATAATAGTTAATGATTGTATAGCATTGTGTTTAGTATAGCCAGGGGGTCCTAAGATTGTCTGGCAGCCAGAGGATCTAGCTGTTTTAGTGTTATGCACCCCTAGGTGGCGAGCTAGGCTTGTTTTTAAGGCAAGAGGAAGAAGAAGAAAAGGAGATTGGATTTATACCCCGCACTTCACTACCCAAAGGTGTCTCAGAGCGGCTTACAAACTCCTTTCCCTCCCCCTCCCCACCACAGACACGAGGTATGTGGGGCTGAGAGAGCTCTTGACAGGAACTGCTCTTTTTCAAGAACACCTCTGACAGAACTATGGCTTGCCCAAGGTCATCCAGCCAGGTGCAAGTGGAGGAGTGGGGGAATCAAACCCGGTTCTCCCAGATTAGAGTCCGCGCACTTAACCACTACACCAAACTGGCTCTCGTTTCAGAAGTGGTTTGGCATTGCCAGCCTCAGAGTCATGACCCTGGTATTCCTTGGAGCGATCTGAAGAGAAACCAGAGTACTATTTATTTACTTCATTCATACCCCACCTTTCTCCCTAATGGGGACCCAGAGTGGCTGACGTTATTCTCCTCTCCTACATTTTATCCTCACAACAACCCTGTGAGGCAGGTTAGGCTGAGACAGTGTGACTGACCCAAGGTCACCCAGCCAGCTTCCATGGCAGAGTGGGTCTCCCAGATCCTAGGCCAACACTTCAATCTAAGACGCTAATTAGGAAGTCACTGTCTGAATAAGCAATTGGCTGCCCCGTGTTGACAAGGCTGCAAGGTAATTTAGGGCTAAGTATTGAGAACGGATCCATTCATCTAGCATATTTTTATCCCCCACCCCACCCCCAGTGAGCAAAGACAGCTTTCGCTCTCCCATTTTATCCTCACAACACACTTGTGAGGTAGGGTAAGCTGAGAGTGTGTGATTGGCCAAGGTCCCCCAGTGAGCATCGAGGCAAAGGGAGGATTTGAACCCAAGTTTCTCAGGCCCTAACTCACTCTAACTGCTCTATCGGACTGGCCCCAGGGGAAGCATCCTGCAGGATTTGTGTGGTGAAGAGAAAGAAAATTGGTGGTGGGAAGGGCTGTCAAGAAGACTCGCCCAACTTATGGCGACCCTTCATGGGGTTTTCAAGGCAAGAGACTCTCAGAGGTGGCTTGCCATTGCCTGCCTCTACGTAGCAAGTCTGGCATTCCTCAATGGTCTCCCACCCAAATACTAACCGGGGCCGACCCTGCTTAGCTTCTGAGGTCTGACGAGAGTGAGCTTGCGAAGGGAAATGATAAGCAGTTTTTCTAGCAAGGAAACAGAACAAGGGGGTGGTCTTACACTTAACAATGATAATCTAAGGATGAAGTACGGCCCAAATGTCCAGCAAGAAAAGTCCTCTGCCTGAAGCCCCAGACGGTGCAGTCAGCTGTGAAAATCTAAAGGCCAGCTAATAACTGATAGTAGAGAGATAATAACTGACAATAGACTCAAACTTTGTTCAGTAACTGATAATAGACAGCCAGTGTGGTGTCATGGTTTTAGAGTGCTGGGCTAGGAACTGTGAGACCCAGATTTCAATGCCTGCTCGGCCATGGAAGCCTGTTGGGTGACCTTGGGCCAGTCACAAGCTCTCAGCCTATCCTACCTCACAGGGTTGTTGCGGGGATAAAACGGAGGAAAAGAGAACAATATGAACTACTTTGGGTCCCCCTTGGAAAGAAAGGCGGGGTATAAATGAAGTAAATACAATAACTAGGCAACAGTGCCTGAGACAAGTACTTAGGAATTTTGTGTCTGAAGCGCCCAGTGATTTTTAAAACTCAGTTATCAGGTATGTGTGGACCCTAAATCAGATCAGAGCCATGGAGGGATGCCGGCCTCCAGGTGGGACCCGTGGATCCCCTGGAATTACACCTCATCTCCAGACTACAAAGATCATTTCCCCTGGAGAAAAGGGGTGCTTCGCAGGGTGGACATTGTACCCCATTGAGGTCCCTGTCCTCCCCAGGCTCCACCCCCAAATCTCCAGGAGTTTCCCAACCTGGATCTGGCAACCCCACCCCTCATCCCCTGCCGGTGGCCGGGGGGGACACGGACCTGGCAACCCTAGAGCCAAGGCATGCTGGGTAGGGAGAGGGGCTAAGCTTTCCCTTCTGTATTGTTTTCCTCATCTGAAATGTCTGCAGCCCTGATTGAACCAGGGCCCCCACGTTCCTGATATTTGAATTTTAAAAATGGCCGGAGCTCCAGTTGCCAGCGTTTGCCGCTGAAGCCTTTTCAGCCTCGGAAGGGAACGGCGGGAGATCTTCAGCCCCAAGGCCTCAGGTTTTACGTGCCGAAGTCACGGCAGGAGAGAAGGTTAAGTTTTTCTCCTGATGCTTTTAAAGAGGTGTTTGCCTTTTAAAAGGGAACCTGGCATTTCGCAAGCCTGTCGTTTCTTGTGGAAAGAAAGGTCGCAGAATTCCTGAGGCAAACCTGCTTGTCAGAGAGAGAGAGATAGTTCAGAGGGAGACTTCGCAAAAGCTTTCTGAGGGAACAGAGATAAAAGGCCGTTTGTGCATCTACCCCAGGGACAGTGAGCGAAAAGCACAAATGACTCCCTCTCTTTTCCTCTCCCCCCCTCCTCTTTGTGTCTTCTCTGAAACAGGGAAGCAGATCTGCAAGCCCCCCTACATCTAATGTGGGTTCTGTCCCCCACAGGGGGGGTATACATCCCTATTCCCGCACCCTTTTGCGTGTGACCCACAAGGATATGAAACAAGAAACGCAAGCTCCACTATGTCTGTCATCGCTTCCTGTGGAGTATTGTTAAGCATCTCCCAAGCCCTATTTTTAGTTTTCTCTGATATTGAAGGTTTATGATCTGAGGCGATTCCTTTGCTCAGGAATAGCTTGGAAGCTTCACAATGTGCATTCTCTAGCAGCAGAACTCAGGTAACTTCAGTGTATCTGAAGAAGTGTGCATGCACATGAAAGCTTATACCCAGAATTAAAATTTAGCTGCTGGTATTGAATCATTATCCAGTTTAGTTACTGGACACTGTACCACAAATAGCCTGAGCTAATTTAATCCTGGCCAGTAAAAGCATCCCAAGCGTGCAAGTCTTAACAGTGCTTCCAGGAAACTCTGCAACTCACCACTGGGCAAGTCTCCAGAGAAATGAAATTGTTATGTAGTTGTAGAACAGTCTCTCTACTTGCCCTTATGTGGCCTTCTGTGTATTGACCACAGCACTAAAAATCTCCAAGGATCTCTTGATAGTCAGTGATCCTTTGAAGGCAGTAGCAAAACTGGACTGCAAACAAGATCCCAGTAAACATGCAATGTGTAAGGTCAAAGACATTTTCAGCTCCATATCAACACCTTAACTCTACCGGAAAAGTTGTAGGGAGCCATCATGCATCACTTTTCTTTTTTTCTTTTTTTTTAAAACAATTTTTATTAGGATATATTCAATTACATTCATTTTTAATTCAAACGTTTCTACGTATCCAATATCCTACCCCCTCCCTTTCCCTCACAAAAGGCTTCCCGCAGTGCTCCGACCTCCTGCACATTGCTTAAATGTTGTTCTACATATCCTTTCATATAGTTTCAATAGGTAACTATTACTTCAATATACTATCTCCTCATATATTTCAATAAGTGTCAAAACAAAATATAACATCTTTTAGTTCTCCATTGTTTTCCAAATATTCTTTCAGATCTTTCCAGTCCTCAAAGAAATCTTCTGCTTCCATGTCATTTAACTTCCGTGTCATCTTGTCCATTTCTACCATATGTAATAATTTTCTAATCCAGTCTTTCACCTCCGGGACTTGATCTTGTTTCCAACATTGAGCATAAGTCATTCTTGCTGCAGTGATCATATACCACATCAATGTTCTTTTAGCTATGTTAACTTCCTCCATTTTTAATCCCAGAAGAAGAATTTCAGGTTCTTTTTTAAATTTACACTTCACAATTTTTTGCATTTCTTCATGGATCTCAACCCAGAATTTCTTTGCTTTTTCGCAAGTCCACCACATGTGATAAAATGAGCCCTCTACTTTTTTACATTTCCAACATTTACTAGACATATTATTATTCATATTGGCAATTATTCATATTCATGTTGTGCAATTTTTGATATCTTTTAATCATCAATCAAAGCCCTAAACAGAAGGGAATATATATATAAAATTAATTAATATAACAGGAATGGAGGCAAGTCTACAGATCAGTCTCTGTAAAAGGTTGCCAGTTACCTAAAAATATCTGTACACAATTGTCATCTACATATGATACGTTCAAATATTGATCAGATTGTAAATCCTCAATCCATTGGATTACTGGAGTTGGGCATTTATCTTTCCAGTGTTGTGTAAGTCTTTTCACAATGGTAAGGGCATGGAGATCCATTTTCATAATAGGAGGAGGAGGAGACGGATGGATTTATACCCCACCCTTCACTACCCGAAGGAGTCTCAGAGTGGTTTACATTCACCTTTCCCTTCCCCTCCCCACAACAGACCCCCTGTGAGGTAGGTGGGGTTGAGGGAACTCTTTCAAGGACTGCTCTTGAGAGAATAGCTCTGAGAGAACTGTGACTGACCCAAGGTCACACCAGCAGCTGCATGTGGAGGAGTGGGGAATCAAACCCAGTTCTCCCAGATTAGAGTCTGCGCTCTTAACAACTGCACCAAACTAACCGTCTGTTAGCCTCCAAGAGACAGGCAAATTGTTTTAAAGTACATAAACTCCCTCAGAAATTAATGAATTCTCATACAAAATTGATATTAGCAATTATTTCTTCCCCAAAATACTGAATTACTGGACAGGCCCA